CCCTGAGAACTTCAGGGTGAGCCGTGCTCCTGACCGGGGGACCCGTCCTCCCAAGGCGTCTCTGTGGGCAGTTTCTCCCCCAACCCTAAGCCCCACCATGAGGCGGATTTACCCAAGACATGCCAGTGCAGGAGGAAGAGGGGCTGGTCGTTGGGGCAAGGGGGAGATGCAGGAGAGGGACGGAGAGGGAAGGGACCAACCTGCAGCTTGGTGGGAAAGCACCGACGGGGCTGAGAGGTGATGGTCACGGAGAGGCCGCCTGGAGGGTGCGAGCGAGCATGCACGGGAGACGGGAAGGCAGCGAGGAGGTGGTTTCAGTGCAGAAAGGGAGGGGGAGAGTAAAGCGAAAGCAGTTGTCGAGCAGGAAGAGGTTTGAGCTGAGGGGGAAGCGAAGGAGCAAGAGTGAGGCTTGGCAGGGAGGAGAAAGGAAAGATGAGTGAGGAGCAAGAGATGGCGGCTAGATGCCAAAAGCAAAAGAGGAATGGGACCTAGAGGGAGAGAAAACTTTGGCTCCCACGTCTCTGCAGCTGAGAGTTTCCCAGTGGGGTAGTAACCCCGACATTAGTCACCGGGGCTGGCAGAGATCCTCCCTGCATCCGCGTGAGCTCATTGTTCATGCCAGGGTGCTTTGCAGTGCTGAGTGCCGGCTCCCTGCCACGCGGCCGACGCTCAGCTGTGTCTTCTGCTCAGGAGAAACTCCCAAATGAAGCCAGAAGGGAGAAAGAAAAATTTAATCAACAAAATTTCTGGAGAATTTTTAGTTACTCTTCCCATAGCAGTAGCAGAACCTGAATCTTTAGAGTAAAAGCAGAGAACAAGTTTAAGGTGCATCATAAAAGGGACTCCAGGGAGATTTTTAAGCCTACAAAATGCCTGGCGGTTTCCCTGGGTCTAATGCGAGTGCTTGTGTGGGGATCTGCAGGCTCCTGGGCATTGCTAACCCGAGGGTGCTCTTGTCCCCGCAGCTCCTGGGTGACATCCTGATCATCGTCCTGGCCGCCCACTTCTCCAAGGATTTCAGTCCCGAATGCCAGGCTGCCTGGCAAAAGCTGGTCCGTGCAGTGGCCCACGCTCTGGCCCGCAAGTACCACTG